AGTTCGCAGCCTAACTGCGCGGCCTACGTCGTGGTATCACGAGTTTGCTCGGCTAAAGGCATAACGATGTGTTTACGTTTCCCAAAAAATTTCGCGCCTTTCATTCTACGAAAAATGTTGTATACTTCCTCTTTAAAGCTAGAGTTGTAAAAGCTAAATATCAGGGGGTTTAAAATGGAACTCATCAAAGACAACGTGTCAGATATGCCCTCAAATAATTGTAATGACTCATATAGTTCCTCGTTATCTGACTCTAATTCTGTCGAGCCTTCTCCCTCAACTTCCTCAGAATTTCTTCCCTCGAGAGAAAAAACTATCACAGTTCTAACAATAAGATATGGACCCCAGGTAATGAAATATGTAAGGACAATCAACACCATCATTTTGACGACTCGAAGTTTGGTCTTGATCATGTTTTTGTTAGATATCTTGGAACGATCCCGACGCCATAGGACAATCACAATTCTACTGTAAACAAATCCAATGAAAACCAAGGGAACGATGAACGCACCAAAAAGGAATACAGCTAAGGAAATCTGAAACGATAGGCCATGTTTGTCGACGCAGTTCCCAAATTTGTCCATAGTTTCCTCGTTTACTTCAACAGTCCACACTGTGCTGCTCAAAAATGGCGCAGACAAAAGCCCTCCGCAAACCCACGAGAGTACCATCACATTTCTACTGTGTTTCCATGTAATTGTCCTGGCCCTAAACGGATGAACAATGTGAATGTATCGATCAAATGATATTCCGGCCAGAATAGCAAATGTTACCGCCAAAGTAGTGTGTCTACTGAAGTCGATCAATTTACATATGAAGTCGCTCCCGCCAATAATTTCTCCTGGCAGCAATTCCGGAACAGAAACGGCTCGAAAGAGAATATCTGTAATGGCCAGATTCAATAAATGAAAGTTGGAAAAGCTTTTAAAACATTTCCTCTTCTTGCGAATCAATATCCAACAGACAAAAACGTTTTCCAAAACTCCACACAGCACTAAAACCAAACCAAGCACAAAATGTAGACCATATTGGTTTCTATTTTGGTCGACGAGCTCTTCATGGCCACTTGATGTTCTTCCATCGTCAAATTCGGTGAAATTTAAGTCGTCTTCATCTTTCCAATCCATCTCAACAAACTTAATGATAAAATGAAGCAACAGGGCTAGAAGGTTAACAGAAGAAGTGAATTTTTTTCCCTGTGGATAAGCTTTTGTCTTCAACCTCGGCAATCTCCAAGCTGAATATGGCGTTTCAGTATTAAGAGAGTGTCTCTGTAAGAGCGGTTCGGTCGACGACGCGAAGCGGAGTGGTTTCCAGCTTATCAAGTGTTTACATCAGGCTATGTAAACACGGAAACCATTTTTTCATTTCTTTTATAAAATAACTAATGAAAGAGGAACGAAAACCGTGATTACATACGCTCATGTAAAATGGTTTTATGGCCAATCAGAGCGCGCGTACTGCATATGTCTCAGGACATTCAAAAGCTGTTTGGAGTTATTATTCCAGTTGAATCTGGTAATCTTCAGTAACATTTTCTGTTATATATTTTTGTCACGTGACATATTTGCTCGAAAAGAGAAGAAATTATTTATTAGATATAGCCGCAAACGCTAATCACACGTATTTCAAACTTTACTAGAACAAACTTGACACATTGTTGACTACGGTAACTGAAAATGACAAAATTAAAAACACGCGAATGAGCATAAAATAACTTACATCGTATGAGTGAAAGTACTGGAAAACGACAAAGCGAGATAAACAAGGATACTTACAAGACGAATGTGACCAACCCAAAGACGAAAACATGAAACCCAGAGCTAGATATGTAACGGTAATTTTCACAAACTAGACAACTAACCAAATAAATTACGCGCAACCAATATATATACGATATGCAAATAAATATAACAAGTACAAAACTGGTAACTGACAAAGGACACTAATGGAAGACGAGAAAATAAACGCCTAACACGAAACTATGAAACACCAACACTAACAAAAAATGATAGTACAAGTTCTTGCGCCTACATTAGATGAAGGGTACTTAAGTGCACATCACGTTGAAAAAACATGGATCTATGTGTAAGTGATTTTAATTGCAGATGGAAATATGTACAATGTTGCTTGGTTGATAATCAATAATGTGTTTGTAAAAGGTTAAATCACCTGACAACGCAATACACTTATTCATGCGCACGGTTCACAATTATTTGCGGTCAGTTTTCCTCATGCGATCAGTTTGTATGATTCTCATTAACCAGTATGATTAAATTTGCAGACTAAAACACTCCTTATTTGATTAAGAATAATAAAAGTAAACAGTGCATCACGGTTTTCAATTCC